TTGATGGCTGCATAATATTCCATTGTATATATATACCACATCTTCTTTATCCATTCATCTGTCGATGGACATCTTGGCTCTTTCCACAGGTTGGCTATTGTGGACATTGCTTCTAGCTAGATTTTTAAATGTTCTTCAGGCTTCTTTCTTTTTTTAAATTTTATTTATTTATTTGAGAGAGACAGAGAGAGATAGCAAGAGAGAGAACACAAGCATTGGGGGAGAGGGAGAAGCAGGTTCCCTGCTGAGCAGGAAGCCCAACACGGGGCTCTGGGATCATGACCTGAGCTGAAGGCAGACTAACCAACTGAGCCACCTGGGGAGGGGCCCTTAGGTTTATTTCTAACTTAACTAGTTGCAATATTTAAACCCAGCCTTTCATAACCTTTGTTGGCTGGAGAGTGAACTCAGCAATGTATAACAGAAAACTTAAAGAACAGTTGCTTAAACAAGATAGCTATTTTTGTTCTTTTGTATAACAAGAAGTCTAAAGGTAGGGAAATCACAATTGGTACAGCAGCTTCACAATATCATTGGCTACCCAGGATCTTTTATACCATCCCTGGGATGTGGTCTTTTTTCTCCCGCTCACAAGATGACTGCATTGGGTGCAACAGATACGAAGGAGGGGCCCTAAGAAGGAAGGAAGGAAGGCTATCCTTGTATCAGGAGAGGAATACTTTCACAGAAGCACTGAGCACACTCTGCTTACATCTCATTGGCCAGAACTATGTCTGGCCTAGCCAGCTCCTATACACACCCCGCTTCCAGAGAGACTTGTGGCTTTTCGATGGACACATTGCCAACATGAACAATTAGAAAGGGAAAATCAATATTGGATAGGCAACAGTCTTGCCACATTCCTCTTTTTTGACCCCTTCTTAGGTTAGTTGAAATAGATCATCAATTAATATTTTTTAAAGAGTATATTTTAAAATTTCCTATGTATCTGAAACTATAGTCCCATGCTTTCACAGGTAAAAACTCAGCTTTGCCTCAAATCATTACATTTCCCACTCAGAACCCTGTATTTATTTTCTAAAGCTTCATTGAGACATACCTTAGATAGCATAAAATTCCTGCATTGAAAGTGTGTAGTTTAGTGATTTTTAGTGTATTCATGACACTGTGCATCCATTGCTACAACAATCTATTTTAGAACATGTTCATGACATCAAAAGGAAACTCCATTCACATTAGCAGTCACTCTTCATTCCCCTCCTCTTCCAGTGCCTGGAAACCATAATCTACTTTCTGTCTCTATGGATTTTCTTATTTAAGAAATTTCATGTAGATGGAATTATACAGTACATGGCCTTTGCAACAGACTTCTTTCACTTAGCACAATGTTTTCAAGTTTCATCCATGTTGTAGCATATAAGTACTTCATTCATTTTGTTGCTATTTGAATAATATCCCATTGTTTGGATGTACTACATTTTATTTATCTATTTCATAAAATTACCATCCCATTGATGGGTATTTGACTTGTGTCCACTTTGGAGCTATTATGAAACTTCATGTGCAAGCTTTGTGTGAATATGTTTTCATTCTCTTAGGAATATACATAGCTAGGAGTGGAATTATTGTGTATTAGGATAACTTTATGTTACCTTTTGAGAAAGTATCAAACTGTTTTGCAAAGAGGCTGCACCATTTCACATTCTCACCAGCAGAAGAGGAGAGTTCTAATTCCTCCTCATTCTTGTCAACACTTGTTATTGTCAGTCTTTTTTTACTATAGCCATCTTGGAAAGTATGAAGTGGCATTTCATTGTATTTCCCTAATGACTAACAATGTTGAGTATTTCTTTGTGTATTTACTGGACATTTAAATCTCTTTTTTGGAGAAATATCTATTCAGAGGCTTTCCCCTTTTGGTTATTTGTCTTCCTATTGTTGAGTTGTAAGAGTTCTATATGGTATACATATTCTGGATACAAGTTTCTAGTCAGATATATAATTTGAAGATACTTTATCCCATCATATGGGTTGTCTTTTCAGTTTCTTGCTGGCGTCATTTGATGCACAAAAGTTCATACTTTTGATGAAGGCCACTTTGTCTTTTTTGCTTTGTCACTTAAGCATAAGAGACCATTGTCTAACCTAATGTGACAATGATTTCTTTTATGTTTTTTTCTAAGAGTTTTATAGTTTTTGCTCTTACACTGAAGCTTATGACCCTTTTGAGTTAATTTTTGTGTCTGGTATGAGGTAGGGGTCCAAATTCATTCCCTTGCATGTGGATATCCAATTGTTCCAGCACCATTTGTTGAAAAGACTAATCTTTCCCCCATTAAATTGTCTTGCACCTTTGTTGAAAATCAATTGACCATAAATGGGAGGGTCCATTTCTGGATTCTCAATTCTATTCCATCATTATGGGATATGTCAAAATGTCTATTGTTACACCATTACCATATTGTCTTAACTTCTGGAGTTCTGTAATAGATTTTAAAATCACTGAATCTCTCAACTTTATTCCTCTTTTTCAAAATTGCTATTTCTAGGTTTCTTCTCACTTGTGCCTCTGACTAAAGTGCTTTGTTTTGAGGGACATTCCTCAGAATGCCGTGTACCACCATCGGCCCTCCCCTAGCTCCTTTTTCTATCTTGGATTTTTTTCTGGAATTTTCAGCCCCTGTATGGATGTGGGAAGATGAGACAGGGAAGAGAGCAGGGGTTTATCCTCCAGCCACCTTCCAGAAGACTTCAACAGCACAGAGGTGGAGAGGATGTCTCATTCCTTCACAGTTGTAGGTTTCACAGCACCAGGTCAGGGGATCAATTTGGGGAGACACACAAGCATCTTTCTCCTTCCTCTTCACTCATGGTCTCATTTGGTTTCATAAAAGTCTCCTTTAACGAAACCTGGGTAAATTCCTTTCAACCCCATTCCACCTTCTGTATAACTGATGTTTGCCCAGTACCTCCCACTATGACTATTAGACTCTGTTTATGGCCAGCATCTGTCTTGGTTGGTTTATGCTCATGTCTGATGACAATATTTTGAATAATACCCTGCTCATCACACATGTCAATTACCCCTAGATATCAAGATGTGATTACCTTTCAGGATAAGCTTTGGTGCTGTTATGAGCTTTCATCTAAGCTGTGCTTTAGAACTGTAAACCAGGTGCCACTTGGCTTTGGAGCTTTCCATTGGATGGGACATGAAATCATGGTGTAGCTGCAGTTTCTGACTGCACTGAGTAATTTCATTTAATAATCATTTTGATTTTCCCTCTGTGTAAATTTTCCCTGAGAGGAGGTTAGGCTCATTGGGAGGTGAATTCATTCTCTCAAGTCATTAAGGTTCCAGTTAGTGCTCCGCAGCTATATTAATTAAACTATACTCAACTTCCCTAAAAATGAAATTCTCTATATCCCCAGTGAATTTGAGATTCACACTGCATAGATTGAGGCATGAATACGCCAAAACCTGAATTTTTCTTGAAGCTTATCTTACCTAATTTTTTTTTCTTTTTGCCTCCCAGTCTGCCTTGATGAAGGTATCTTGTAAGTAGGGGCATGAGGAAGGTGATGTTTCATTTCTATTTTTGTACTTCACAGAGTTTTTTTGGTTAATCTAAATGTCCTATCTGGTAATAATATCTGAGAAGAGGGTGATAGACAGTAAAAAGGAGGAAGTATTCTTTATTTTAATTAAAATGCTAACATAAGGCATGATCATTGAGTGATTGCATTACAAAGCAGCTACTTGTTCTGCCATAGTTAAGTGTGATTTGATGCGTCCATTATGAGCCTCTCTTCTCAGGGGTTTATATCTTGGCCAAAATAGTCCCTCCAGGCTGAAACTTGGCAGACAACTCAGCCTAATTACAGTCATTTTCCTTTTTGGATTAAGAAAATGGAATTATTACAGTGCTTTAAGCCCACCCATCCCCATATTT